ACACCACCCCAAGCTGATACACAGTGTCCATTGTCCAGGTCTGTTACATTCCTTCTCTCCTCTCTCTCACTAACTTCATTTTCACCTATCCACTTCACAACATCTGAATGAAGAGTTTATCTTACTGCTATTCATTTCAGTCAGCTTTCACCATACTCCCTCTCTTAGGGTTTCTAGTGCTGTGATAAAATTCCAGGAGAGAAAGCAAGTTGGGGCAGAAAGGGCTTATTTGGCTTACACTTTCACATCATAGCCCATCACTGAAGGAGATCAGGACAGAACTCAAAGAGGACAGGAGCCTGGAAGCTAATGCAGAAGCCATGCAGGAGTGGTGCATACTGGCTTGCTCAGCCTGCTTCCTTATACAAGCGAAGATCACCAGCCCAGTGGTGGCTCCACCCACAACTGGCTGGACCCTCCTCTATCAATCACTGATTAAGAAAATGTCCCTAGTAATGGGAACAGAGACTGTCTCTGACATGAACTCAGTGGCTGGCTCTTTGATCACCTCCCCCTGAGAGGGGTGTAGCCTTACCAGGCCACAGAGGAAGACAATGCAGCCACTCCTGATGAGACCTGATAGAATAAGATTAGATGGAAGGGGAGGAAGACCTCCCCTTTTGATGGACTGAAGGAAGGGGCATGGGAGGAGAAGAGAGGGAGGATGGGATTAGGAGGGAAGGAAGGAGGGGGCTACAATTGGGATACAAGGTGAAACAACTGTAATTAATAAAAAAATAAATTTTAAAACATAAGTAATTACAGTAAATGACCAGTTATAATTTTCAAAACGTTAAATAATTATAAAATTATAAAAATTAAAAACAGCCCATTTTTCAAGTCAAAAGTATTTGCCAAATAAAGCAATTATGGAATTTTTCAGTAATTTTGTGGATATAAATTATCACCAACCATGAGATTGCATTTTTTTTCTGTGTTCTCAAGGGAAAAAAAAAACAAAAACAAAAACAAAAAAAAAAACCAAAAAAAACAAACCTTACAGGTTTTACTCAATTTACTCTCCAAAATAACAAATGCAAACTTTACTAGAAAAACTAGTAGAGAAAATTGTTGAGGCCTGGTTCTTTTGGCATAATTATAACCATTTCTGTTTCAGGCCTAACAGCCACATTATCTCAGTTTGTTACTGATATAGAGAAAAGCTCTCAAGCAGGGCCTGGTGGTACATGCCTTTAACCCTAGCTCAGGGAAGCAGAGGCAGGTGGATTGCTGTGAGTTTGAGGCCAACCTAGTCTACAAAGGGTGTCAAGGACAGCCAAGGCTACACATAGAAACCCTGTCTTGAAAAAAATAAAATTAAATTAAAAAGGTTGACCCAAAACTATCTAATGTTCAGCATACTCTGCCCGCTACTCCTAGAAATTCCCCAATGATAAGAGCAGCTGGCCCTAAAAAAACTCCACTTGAGACCAATCAAATTAAAGGTCAGCTAGAACTGGTTTGTCTAATCAGTGAAAATAACAATGCAAAGGTGACTGCCCTGTTCAGTGTGGTTCTCTTCCCAGCCCCCTGCATGAGCTAACTACAGTTTTTGCCTTTATAAGCTAACTCTGAAAGACACTCGATGTCATAGTTTGGCTCCGAGTCCACTGCTCCTAAGCATGGTCTTGAGATGTTGTATTCAATATACCATACATTTCTAAAAAGAAAAAAAAATGTCCTCCAGGCTTGCCTACACAGCAATCTTACCTTATAGAGGTATGTTCTCAGTTTATGTTCATGCCGCTTGATGACTATTGCTTGTATCAGGTTGACATAAAACTACCCAGCATCCCCCACTGAACAAAGGGTTGTTCCTGCTCTGTGAAAGATAAGGCTGTAACACTCAGAATGGGAAAGTAGCTTAACCAGGGATACACAGGCAGACAGTGAGCACAGGCTGACGGGCTCATCAAACACACACCTGTGCTCCTCTTCTGCACACACACACACACACACACACACACACACACACACACACACACACACA